ATACCACGTAATGACCTACCAGATGGGGCTGTTGGGAGCGGAAAACCAGAGGACGGGGCTGTTGGAAACGGGGCACCAGAGAACGGGGGGCTGCTGGGAGCGGAACACTACAGGACGGGGGGCTGTTGGGAGCGGAACACCAGAGGACGGGGGGCTGTTGGAGGCGGAACACCAGGGGGCAAGGGGCTGTTGGAAACTGAACACCAGGGGGCAGGGGCTGTTGGAAGCGGAACACCAGGAGGCAAGGGACTGTTGAAAGCGAAACACCAGGGGTCAAGGGACTACTGGAAGCGGAACGCCAGAAAGCAAGAAGCTGTTGAAAGCGGAACACCAGGGTTCAAGGGACTGTTGGAAGCGGAACACCAGAGGGCAAGAGGCTGCTGAAAGCGAAACACCAGGGGGCAAGAGGCTGTTGGAAACAGAGCATTAGCGGGTACGATAAGGATAGAACAAAACCAGAGCCGCAAAAATGTCATACATTTGTGACTTCTGATTTACAGCTCAGGCACATGGAAGCTTCACTCGTCCAGGCGGCGTTAGCTCTGTAATTTTGGGTACGTACGGGAATGCCGGATGTAATGCATTTATGCGGAGGCAAATGTAATTCGACGAGTAGGCAATTACTTATGCCGGGCGATTTGTATCCTTACTCGGCCTGATTACTACATATGACCCTGGCAGTCATTATACAAACCCTTTGACTACAAAATAAAGTTTTGGCTGATAGCTATGTTCATCGTGCTATTTCGGAGCTAACCTCTCTGTAATGTGTGCATTATGTTAAAATTGATAGCCTTTAGCTTAAGCTCCTTTATTCCCTTCGAGTTCAATGCAAGTATAGAGCCCGAGCACAAACGCTGCTTTGGAGACGAGCGGCATCAGTTGGGCCGTCTCACCACACTCTGAAACTGGCATTGACTACGGTCCAAGTTAATCTTGTTTTACCTTGAATCCCTGCAAGGATTTTCAACCCTCCCCTTGATAGGACGGGAATGAAACTCCCCAAGGTGTTCTTGGGACATCTCCCTGACATTTCGTGCAATCGCGTCCATATTTTTGGTAGTCTAACCGACATGCACTGCGCGTGCTTTGACGCCAACAGCACATATCTAGCCTTTCTGGTTTCTGCGTAGCGACGGTCTTTTAGGGACATCGTGGCGGTCCACGTCCGAGGCGGGCGGCAGTGTCAGCGGACGAACCTGCCGAACGTGTGCGGCGGGTCAACGCTGCTACTTTAAAGGAACCCCACCATATAGATATGCTCTCAAAACACACACAACTACAGGTCAATGTACTAAAAATTACGCAAGGTACACGTCCGTATAATTTTCACATTGCTACATAACATTACATGGATATTGCGATTAAAGCTAAAATTATTCAATCCCCACGAAAAAAGACCCTTGGCCGGGCATAAAGGAATGAGTATTTGGACTAGCACATAACAACTAATTGCCAATCAGGAGGTCTTGTTATGACCAATTCACTAATTTTCTGCCGGGCTTCATCTTTGTTTTAGGAGTAGGCGTATCGTAACAATCCGCGCCCCTAGTCCCTATCAGTCCGCGTCATGAAACAGCGGGTCGGGGCGAGGCTACTTATGCAGCAATTTGCATGTTGCATGCGTTGCACACATAACTGCTTAAAGTTAGCATAACTGACGTCGGCATGACTGTGTGTTTGACTTTAATATCGAATGTTTGATTGTGGTTAACAACCGACGTTGATTTTGGTGTTGCTTGACCTCGCTTGACACTACATTATCCTGAACTATTGAACTAATACCGATGGGTACTGCGGCGTAGCATTAGCATTCAAAGATCATGGACCCGGTGTTATCCTATGGAAAAGAGCCACTGTGCGCAAAGACAGCGGTCAGGACGTGTGCAACGTGTACCCCCTATCCATCCTCCGGGAAATCTCATGTGACAGCCGCAGGGCACGTGCTAAGAAGCCCGCGCAGTCTCAGCTGTCGTGCTTGAAAGCACCAGCATGGTTGCACTAAGATACACCTCGCGCACCATGCAGTACGTACTCTCAGCGTGCTGTACGTGAGACCCGCAGGCTACCTATTGCAGCCTGAATAGGTATCGCGTTAGTCTCGTCCGGCGGTGCCGATTGACAAGAATCCGCATCCGAGCGGAACACATCGGCTGCAAGTTTGTCTGGTTGGAAACTTTCCAGTTGCTTTATATGAGCGACAAACTTGGAGAGGAAACCGAGTGAGACGATACTTACGGGGCTATAAATATGTTAAGAATAAGAATATCTCTGAGTTTATGGGATGTCGCGAGCGGGAAATCGCCCTTGCGATATTCTACAGAAACGAAGATTGCACGCTAGCTTTACGACGTCTGATAACATATGGCTGCGATGGGCGGCTTATTATACGTGTGCTACGGTGCACAGGGCTACGTAGCTGTGTTTTGATATCCTTTTGGTTGTTATTCTCCTTGTGCTGCTCTTTAACCTGCTTTGCATGATATCCTCCGCTTACGTCACTGGGGACAGCTTGCTTGTCTTTCGGGGGGGGGGGGGGGGGGGGCACGAAGCAGATAGGATGTTTTGTGTTTGTGGCATCCATGAGCGCTTTTCGATGCCTGATTTTCCATCTCACTTGCCACAAAAAGGCAAATGTTTTCAAACGAGAGCTTCCGCAACAATGCAAGCTAGTTTTGTGTTCGAAGCTTGCTCACTTCCACTACCTGACGTAAGAATGGCAACTATCAATGGACTTGTGCATTCTTCCCCGTCGCCCCCCCCCCCCCTCCTATCGTAAGACAGCAACACGCTGGCAAGTGCGCAAAACTTCTTCTCCGATCCCGTCATTCCACTGGTGAAGCTGACCCGCTTTAAACCTAACCCGGCTGCAGCGTAAGTCATTACGTCCGGACCCGATGTCGCCGCCGAGCAAATCGCCGGCTCGCTGCAGCGACGCGGCGCCACCAAACGCAGGGCTGCCACCGGCCCGCGCGCCGGCACACAAACACCGCCATCAATTCAGCACGGCGCCTATATATTCGTCAGGTGCTGCACCTGTTCATTTGGCGAGATCAGCACTGTCGCAACTTAGCATCGGAATGGCCCGCGCTCGCGGTGCGGCAGCGCCGCGCTCTTATGATCTCGGCGCGAATGCGACCAGGGATTCGTAGCTTGCCGTGCTTTAAACCACTGTTTAGAGACCTGTGATATACGTAATTTCACAGCAAGCGCTTAGCCAAAGATTGTACAATCGGATTCATCTTGGCTTATAATAACATTTACGTGTGTTGTAAACAATATATGCAATAGGAAAATACACGTGCGTTCCTTCCAAAATGACAAGTTGTTTTCGTCCGTGATGAAGCATTTCACTTTATTATAGAACTTATAAAGGAACCAGGAATAAAATTGGTGAAGGCGCTACCGCTTGAATATCGGCAGCGTAACATGCAACTAACTGCTACTTAACAACGGCTCACTCATGTAAATACTGCGACGACGACAGAATAAAAACATCACAGTATACGTAAGGTAATATAAATTAGAAACTACCGGATCACGACGACACTCGTTAAGCCGTTGCCATCACATGAGCCTTCTGCTCGATAGTGGGCTCTCTCTGATGATTGCCGAAACACTGAGCTGAGAAGTCCATACACAAATGAGGCTGAAGAGTTTTCAACAAGTTTGATATTGCAAGCACCGGTGAGAAGTACCGCTCATGTTCGGCTAAGCGTTGTTGGTTTCCAGCCCGAGAGCGCCCACAACGCCGAGTATTCGAAAATTAATACACGTTTCCAATTGCAATCGTAGATTTTAATGCCATCATGATAAAAATCATGGCTAAGTGATTTATCTTATAATCCGGTATAAGAACGTTGGCCCTGCATCAAAACAAGGTTCACAAGTGGTACTGCATAAGGGCAGAAATAAATTTGACCGTCATAAGATCTTTTCCACTCGGTCCAAAGACATAAATAGATAATCCGATTTGAAAAAAATTACACCATTCATTTTTACTGAATTAAGGCACATTGCCTGGTAACCTTGGAGAAATTAGGCATGCTGTTTCCGTTTCGCTGCGTGCGAATACATGTCTAGCTCTCGGGACTTCAGTGATAAAAAACATGCACTTCAATTTCTCGGAATACATGCCCAACACAACCTCCCAGAAATGACGCGTCTTCACGTCAGACGCTTTTATGATGCGATGAGTCACCGAAAAGTTTTCAAAACGTGTCTTTGGATGTATAGTACTTACTTAATACTCTGACTAGGAAAATATTGTTTTCGTGGAATTCCATAAACACGCTGTAAGTAAGGCATATGTGTCCAACTAGGAATAAGTTTGCTTATATTAAGCAAGACCCTTCACAGACATTTATCCATCCCAAGCCTTTAGCTCACCCAAGTTATAAGACAATTTCATGTTTGTCAATCAGCAATGTGCATCGGTCGAAGACGTTGGGTGCCGGCTGCCCATGATTGTGTACATTGGTGCTGTGTGGACCAAGGTGGGCTGTGAGGATTTTTTATTCAAGGATCATTCATTGGGTCATGCTAAGGTTTGTAGAATGCAAGCTCGGTAAGTACGGTGAGCAATCTCTTTAAGTACTATAAGTAAGCTCTGTAAATACTGCATGCCTATGAGCAGGGAGCTTCGTGAGGGTATAGGAGGATATAATTTTGTAGGATATAGAGGAATGTTCTCAGTTTTGTTTTGTTTTGGGTTCTAAAAACGTTTGGTGTCAAGAGGTCTGGCATTGTACCGGTCTATAAAAACATGATCTTGCTTGTAGCCAGCTGACCGCAATTTCATCAAATAATACGTCTTTACAAACATGTTTTAAAATATCTGCGAAACTATTGCCGAAAATCGCTAAGAAAAGGTGCGGTGTTAGAAAATAAGTGCTGAAAAGTCTTGAAAAAGGTTTTACACTGTAATCCGTCATGAAAACGGCCACTGTGTCTTTACTTCACATTGCAGACCTCACAGAAATGTCAGCGGGCCGTCTCACCTGGATGACTCGGCGGCGTCCGACCGCGTCCTCAGCGGTCCGGCATCGCTCCGAGAGCGTCAGGCGTCGCTCCGAGAGCGCCAGGTGTCGCTCCGAGATCGCCAGCGCGCCGCCCCCGTCCGCCGCCGACACCGACGGCACACTGGCGTCGCGCCGCCGACGGCGCCGACGGGGGCGGCGTGCGCGGCGCGAGCGGCGGCAGCTGCGGCAGCGGCCAGCGGCGTCCGATCCTCGCACGGCGGCAGGCAGGGCTCAGTTAGGGCGCCAGCAGGGCTGTCCGATATACGCGTCACGGTGCCGCGTCTTGGTCAGCTACGAATGATTGCGCGTTGTGATCAGATGTCAGTTTAGTAAAGGAAAGCTAAGACGTACGCCGTTTTAAAACCACGTCGCCTGGAGTGCGGGCAACGAGACACAAGACCTATCCTGTGGTAGATCGTGCAGAACAAGCACATGTAGGCAAACGTTGCAAATATATCTCCCTTTTTCTGATGACTAGGAGAAGTGGGTGAACTCAACAGTGGTTTCCGGCCCAAATTACGCACATTTCAATTTACAACAAAGCAAATCGTAACTTCTCTTTTTGAAACGGACTGCGATGGTGTTTTAAATTGGCGTCGGGTGTGGGGCGGGGAGAAGATTGGTTGAAATCAGCGGATAGATCTGACGTCGCATTTTGGTTTGATCATTTCTATCGCGCTTCTCAGTTCCCCGGCCGGTTGCCGGCAGTGTCTTGCTTCCGGCAAGATAGGTGTCGTCTTTGTGCTTTTTCAGGAGGGTGGGACAAGGCTACGTGAAACAGGTCAAATGAGTTGAGCAATTGGCGTGGGTATATTGTTTTCCAGGAAGCGATGCTGTCGTTAACCGGTTGTCCATGACGTCAGGTTGTCAGTTATCAAGTTGTCAATGCCGCCTCCTCGGTGTGGGAGAATTATACTGAATTTTTTTTTTCGTAAAAATTCGTAATCCAGCGGCACCATGTGCGAGCTCCAGGGCGAGCGCATTGCTTGGCCCAGCCGAAATGTAAAGGTCACCTGGCAACTGATCAACGAGGGTCAACCCAGGCCCGGGGCGGCCGCGCCGCAGCATTGCGCGGCACGTAAAGCCCTCCGTGTTCCAGTCTGGCGAAACGGCGAAGACGACATCATCCGTTGAACTAGATGGCACGACTTAGGTGGTAGGTTCAAGATACACGCGACAAGCCATACATAGCACTCGATGCCCAAAACCACCCATGAAAACCCTTCGGAAGAAATTGAAGATAACAAATTAATAGCTTAGAGTGATTTCTAATCATCTCGATAGCACGCACACCGTACTTAAAATGTAAATAGGCTTGAGCGTTTCTAAACCGAGCAAAACATCCACGATTTAAAACTGTTTATGGTCACTATTCACGACACCGGTTATCTCGAAAACAATTATCGTATTTTTGCACACTTCAGTACATCAACCTCCCATTCAAGCTCGACTTGGGATATTGTTTATCCGCCGTCCTTAGCGTCCAACTAAACCATTTCCCGTCAATATCTTCTGCCATTGGCCCGTTACTCTCAATTTCAAGCCGGTTCCCCAGCCGATCGCATCAGCCCACTGCCAGATCGCGGTTGTTTATGAGCGCAAACACGGGATTTACGCAAAGCCAAAGCTTGACAGTGCCCCCGAAGCTCTTCTGCTGGCGTCGTTGTCTGCGGCGGCCGTGGCCTCGCGCCGGGCGTAAATCAGCGTACGCCTCGCCGCACAAGAGCCGGCTGAGGTCCTGCTGGCGATGCGGTGGCTGGTGCGGCTCGAGCTGCACGTGGGGCTGTTCAGAACACGGCTCAGAACACGGCTCAGAACACGGCTCAGAGGTCTGCTCAGAGGTCTGCTCAGAGGGCCGCCCGTCAGACTGCTCAGAGGACTGTTCGTCAGACTGCTCATATGACGACTTGTCAGACTATTCGTGACTGTTCAGATGCTCGCCAGACGCTCAGAGGATTGCTCATCAGACTGTTCAGATGACTGCTGGTCAGACGCTCAGAGGTTGCCGTATCCCCTGGGATGAAGCGGACTGTATCGTGGTCGTCTTCGCCGCTGAGGTACAGGGCGTGGACGCTATGGCGTGCGCCTCTTCCCGCAGAATGGCCCAGCCCAGTTAACGAGACACACGTACACACTCCCTTCTCTCAGAACCGAGGACACACTCACTAGCTCAGAACCGAGGACACACTCGGTTCTGAACTAAAAAAGGTCAGGTCGACGAGCATAGGCTAGTGGGGATGGGCTAGCTTATCGGTAGGTACCGTTGTGCACATGTCGGAGTTGTCATCTCACCAGTGCGTCCATGGTCTCCAGGGTCTGAGCTCCGGATGACCATCGCCAGTGCCTTTGCCCCCTCCCTCCTGGCGACAGGGCCAATCATGTTGCTTTACGGAGTATGGGCGCCCAAATCTTCGGTTTTGCACCCTTCCTCTCCAAGATACCGGTTTGGAATCCTCAGATCATCACTCAAACCCTGGCGGTAAGCGTCTGACCACTTCGGAGCGGGAGGATAAAGGAAGGGAAGGAGGAGAGCTTTTTGAGTCCCGAATATTTCGCTTCCCACGGTCCTCATGTTCATTTTTGTAGGGAGCTCTTGGGGAGTTCTTGGCCTGCACAACGCCGGTAGTGCGATATTTAAGCCAATCTGGTGACGCCCCCCCCCCCCCCACCCTTTCCCTTCACAACCTAGCCCTGACGTCACCAAGCACGCGATTACTCGACGATGGCACTGTCGGCAGCAGCTGAGATGCACTCGCACGTGCTCGCCGGACATCGGGCACCTCGCTTGCGGAGATGCGTGCGCGGGTGGGACCGCGTGGTTGCGCAATGTGAATGATGGCATCTGTCCCCAGGAAGATAAACGGGACAGCAGAGAGAGGTTTACAAGTGACGGGGAGCGAGCGGCGGCCCTAACGATATGGAATGGATTGCTGGACTACTTTACACGCATGCGGAGTACAGAACCTCTTACATTCCTTCCGTTGACCAAAAATGATGCTTGAAATTTTCCGGAAACGCGTTCGCTGATGTTGGACACTCAATGTTTCAAGATTTGGACGTTTGTTGCGAGACAGTTGCTATTTTGCTAAGAATGTGTTATGGTTTTTGGTGAAGGCTTGAGCTTTGAAGCTGCCTACCTGTTACAGTACGATAACACACAGCAGCCTCAATAACTCACTGGTACAATGGCAAAGTTTGAAACTCCCATTGGTCTCGCAATAAACTTTGGCTGATTAACAGACAAAAGAATAACTCATTTGTAGACGCTCACCGCAAGGCAAGGCTCGTTGCTTGCGCTTTCGCTTCAACCTTAGTGGTCTTTTTAAACTTTGTTTAAAAAGTTTTTTAGCATTGCATCACCGGACAATTCATATGCTACCAAATATTTCAAGGTACCCTGATGATTGCGTTGATAGGCTCGATGACATCGCTTAAGTGTGACTGGTGCTGTATCAGGGTAACTAAACTACACTTCGAATACCATCCGTTCGATTGGAGTGCTGGTCAGGAACACGTCCAATCATGTATTTACCGGGCACTTGGCAATGGTTACTGGACAAGGCCCTCAGTTGGCACCGACCTCCACATCTCACCAGTACCGACTGCAGTGGTACTACCTGCCAGGCAGGTCAGGCATACCACGCTCATCTCAGTCTTTTATCGCATAAATAAAAAGAATCCGAATGACATCAGCGGGTAGCCGGAAGATCACTGCAAGACGAACAGGCTCGTGTTTTACGTGCACTTGCTTGCATTGCTACAACTCCGCATATTTTTCATTTACAATGCCGTCACCTTGAGGGTCGAGGTCCAAAGGCCATAACGTGCTGCTGCAGTATCCTTGGACATTCAGGAATGAATTCTTTTTGACCCATTGGCGAATCTGTACGTCATGCTCTGGCAAGCCAAATTGCGACTGCTGCTTACTACAGGGCGCCGGCTTTTTCTTAAATAAAGAAGACGAAGAAGAAGAAGCATTCATTCCTCAGCCTACGATGATAATTTGATAACGGCCGAACAGCGTCGATGGGAACGAGGCTCGACGACCATTTGCGTCGTTCTCACCTCCCTACCATCCCCCACCTCCGCCCTGCGGACATTCTCATTAGCAATGGAACAGATTTGGAGCCTCAGCAACGGTGCCAGGCAGTCGATCTAATCATCGTAATGACAGGACACACCGAATCTCTGCTAGGATCTTGGCAAATCCTGGTGATGGTCGGCGTATCCTCAATGAGGAACCTTGGGTGAGGTGATTACGGGGGGGGGAACTTCACGGGACGATCTGTGAACTTCTTGGGGGGGGGGGGGGGCAGACTGGTCACAACTTGCGTGACACAGTCATCTGGATGTCATGAAAGTCGGAATGTTTGTTGCCTT